CAAGTTACAGTTACTTAAAGCAATGAAATCTATATGGTTAGTTTCAGTTACAGACGTTGGCAGAGAAGCTCCCTTTGGCTTGAGAAGCATCACCAGATTCAATGTGTGCTTTCCCAGTTGATAAAAGACATATGGCCCCAATTCTCCAAGCCTGTGCAGACGTGTTAAAACTTGTGCATCCTCAATTTGGTGGCATGATGTCATGTGTGGAAAGCACAGGGTGTTGCACACTTGCCATGTATACAAGTACACTGGGCAAAAGTCATCCGTGTGACCACTTCATCTGAAGCTGATTAAAATGAGGTCTTATGAGCAATTTACCAAGTCCAGCTGATTCTCCAAGCCCGAATACTGTTGTTTCTATTACCACTATTAAGAGTAATTGTGAGATCCATATTGCTAGAATCAAAGTAACATTAAAAGGACCTACTAAAATCATTTGATTAAAAATAGGCCACAGATATAAACTGATTTTTTTTAACTCCCCAAACTGAAAGAAAATTGCTCATCGTATTCTGATACGATAATAAAATATGGACTACAATAAAAGGAGAATGCGTTTTGCTGGCATTTTACATAAAACGTAATTTTGTGAAGCATAGAATATTTTTAAATACATTCCAGTAAGTACTAACGTACTTCATTGCATGTTCAGCTGAAATTATTTGATGCTGTTCAGATTCATTGGTTAACATATTAAAACTAAGAGAAGCCATGTGCATAAAACTTTTTAAATGTAGCAGTCCTTTAGAAAACACTTTGAGCATGTAATAAATGTTATTCGTGGTTATATAAAAAATAACTATCCATGTCTGATTGTGAAAAATCAATTTTATCCATCATTAGAAAGTCTCTTATCCTGGCAATATTTCTAGCACGCAAGGATAACTCAGAGATACCAATAAACCCAGCTGGCACGTCATGCATTTGAACAAGGAAAAAACTGGAGCACCCAGAGAATACCCCAAGGAGAACATGCAAACTCCCCACACAGAAGGTGCCTCAAATCTTGTGAAGTACCATGGCTAACTACTACATCACTTTGTTGAAGTATTTTGTTTTGTTTTGTTTATTTAATGATTTTTTAATAAAATGACATGTTAATCTAGGAGGGTGCATTAATAAATCAAATTAAATTTGTGAAGTATGACTATCCACCCAAAAATACTTTGCAGGTAGGCGAAGCATCATGTCAAAACACAGACTTCTTGCACATTCACACACTTGTGTACCAACTCACAAGGTTATGTATGCCTTTGTAATGAAATTATGTTGGGTTTTTTTTCAGTACTAAACTGCCACTTCCACCTCTGGGATTCTGCAAACTGTAAGTGAGGTGGGTAAAACCGGCCTTCACTACATGCGATGGATTGTAATGTAAGGTATCCATGCAACGGAAACTCCTATTTTATCGACATCAAAAAAGTTCAAGCTATGGCCAAAAGTCACAAAAATAATTACGGCAATATTTGGATCCAGAAGAGTGTTCATGTCTACCATTTCAACATGCACCATGAAACAGTAAGTTGGACAGCGTAGAGTATACCCTGCACACACAGTATATACTGTACCTGAAGCCATGAATACACACAAAAGAGCCAGGAGGCTAACACCACTGGAGACATTCTGTGACATGGCAACACAAGAAGAACAGTGCAGTAACACAAAAAGTCTGGTTTTAAACTGTCACCCCACCTAGGTCTCAGTCCACATCTCCCTGTTGTTGAAGTTTCAACTGTTTGGCCCAGTGAAGTTAGCTTTTCAAAGTCACAGAGACCACTTCTGTTATTGTAACAAGGTGTGGAAAAACGGCTCAAGAGCCAACAAAAATTTTATGATTACAAAAGCACCCACAGCCTTGAAAAACAAAAACAGAAGTGTGTGGACGTGGAAGGGGACTGTGTTGAAAAACAGAACAATCTTCCCCACCTGGGAAAAGCAACCAGCAAATAACTTACAAATACAGTTTATATATTGACTTTATCCTCCACATTTAAAAGAATTTAAGTTTTTCTGTGACTTCAGACCCACATGAATTAACTAGTCACCAATGTAACCACATTTAATGGGTATAGTAAGGTATTAAAATGAAAATGTTTATATAATCGGGTTTTTCTATCCCAGAATTCCTGAAAGTGCAACAGGCAACACTTGATTTAAAAAATTAAATTAATTTGTATCTCCCCAGACTACAAACCAAAAGTCAGGGCACTATAGATTCACATGAGCTGCAATTGAGAATTTCTGAGAAATACTTACTATTTGTTTTAATTAGCAAGGATAAATTGTAGTTTCAATGAACTGACTTTCTATTTACTGTTTATTCTGTCTGATTGAGATTTACGCAATGTAAATCTGCAAGTACAGATGCCAGTAATGCAAGTTATGATTAGGCCTTTTTTCCAGTTAATAACTTCCCTTCATCTGTATTTTCATAATGTAAATGCCTTTTGTTTGCATCCAAGAACTCATGATAACAAATAGTTTGCTGTAAAACTAATATTGGTGTAAACAAAATACTCCCCATTAGTGCCACACATTGCTAGGAGGTTGAAAAAGAAAATAACATTTGTAGAAATTTGTTTTGCTTTTACTAAACAGCAAGAACACTTTGTCTCAGTTCCTGCTTTTTACAGTACCAGTAGTTTGGTTTTATGCTTTCATTTTGGGATTCCTATCAGGTGCCAAAATCTGTTTGCCAGGACCAAGAAATCGTTCAGATTTTATAGTCTCATTAAATGATCTAGTGCTAAAGAGCTAGAAAACATCATTTTGAACATTGATGTTAACAGTAGTTTTTAATCGAGTTGTTAAGAACTCAAATAAAGCAGGAAACAAGTTGACTATGCTCTGTAGCACTTGAAATTAATTTAACTTTTAAGGGGACCAATCCAGTAAAGCACAATAAGATTGGACAGGGGCACCTCGCTTTAAAAAAAAGTAGATGTAATCAATATCTTATTACATTACTGACTTTATTGTATTCAACCAAAAAACAATACATAGTAATAGTAATTAGGAACAGTAAAATTATCATTTCTTCCTTCAGGCGTTCAGTAACCATTAGCCATGCAAAGAGTTAATGTTAAGAGCTACTAACAGTTGGTATGCTGTCACACAAATTGTTTCCAGTAATCTTACAGTTAGCATTTGTATGAACTCAGTAGAATATCCGATTATACCGGATAAACTTAAATATTTAGTGAAAATGACATAAATAGTGTAACAAAAAGTAGAGGGTCAAAGAAAAGTTGGATTATGAAGTCATGACCAAATTGCAATCACATCAAAGTAGCCTACCCATGTAGATTTGATACTATATGACAACATGGGGTTTTATTCTGAGAACAGTTCGCTTGGAAAGGCACTTTGAGTGACTCGCCACATATCTGTATAGTTTATATTAAAAAACACAAGACTCTGGGAGAAAAAAAGGTAATATATAATATGTGAAAGAACAAAATGTCTTTTTCCTCTTATTTTCATCTATCTGTAAAGAGTTACTTCAGGGTTTTCCAGTTCGCCTTACCCTGGGAAGCAGAGGAACTTTATCAATACTGCAATTCCTTTTACAGCCTATTTCAATTCAAGAATTAAATCTGAGAAATTTAAAATTAGATTTTCCACTCAAAATTATTTTGCCACCATCTGGTAAATGTTCTTACACTACATCTTTATAACAGGTTTTAGTTCTATTGGGCATTAGATCTGAGGTGTTCGATGGAGGCTTCATTCCAATTGAGTCCAGATATTAGCTTAGCTCAAAAAACAGTTAAGCTTTCTTTTGTTTTCATATGAAATACTCAACTAACACCACAGGCTTTTATGTAAACTTGTAAAGCAGATTATTTGATTAAGGGCATTTCAAAATAAGGTAAGACGGAGATGTACAATGTATTAGATCGAGCAAAAGCTTGATTTATTGTGGTTAAGAGCTACTTACGACCTGCAGTACAAACAGAGTCTAGAAGTAGAATTACAGTATAATACATGAATCTGTAATCTTTCTTTATTTAATTATGGGGTTATCTTATTTTGTTATTAACTGCTTTCATCAGAATACACCTTATAACACAGAAAGGGAAATGTTTCACATGCAAATAATTAAAAAATATTATTAAATAACTTATAGCAGAAACAAAAGTCCTTTGTTCAGATTTTAGATAATTAAAATTAGGTTGTTGGGATTAATGGTGTATCTCAAGGAACAAAATGAGGACCATTTCTCTTCATCAGTTATATCAATGATTTAGATTCTTGAATAGCTAAACAGTTAGTCAAGAATGCAGTTGATCCTAAACTCAAAGGATTAGCAAATAACAGGAAGCTGTAATGGATTTTAAAAAATCAACTAGACCACATTCAGGACAGTCCTGAAACACATGTGTGAAACACATGTTTCACAAGATGACATTTGAATTTTACTCCGTAGGTTCAGGGTGTTGTATGCAGGTAGCAAAAACATAAACTACAAATATAAAATGGAAAACCGCAAGTTTGATGCACCCATGTGTACATATAATTTAAGTGATTCTGACATGGTGCACCTCACTTTGCTCTAAAACAATATAAAATAGTTTCAGTTGTCTCATTTTCTTTTATGTACCATGCATTAAAGTCTGTGTGATGTTGAGTTTATCTAAACATGAACTTCAGCATATGAGTTGCAGTGTTCTACTAACAACACTTGCAGTATACTTTCTTATTGTTACAGTTATATACAGTACCTCGTATAGTTCTTATACTAAAGAACGTCTTGTTAAAAGGTTGGAAACATAATACAATATCGGTACAAGAAATGGAGCATTGAAGGTACTGATGTGCCAAAACACACACATTTGCTTCACAACAAGCATGCCATTCCTGAAATTTGGTTTTAAAACAAACCTGCTTTGGTTACTCTGAGATTGATCACGAAGCCCTTCTAAGGGACAACCCACTGTTTTCATGTTTTCCATCAGCACTTAGCAGAAGTAAAGGAAGAGACACAAAATACCTACTTGAGCAGATATTCATTTCTGGAGCGCGAAGACCATAGAATCCTGATGGACAGGCATGCAAGCACTCTCCATATTGTCTCATTCCTTCCCGCCGAAGGAATAAAAATAACCGTGGCTGGCAGCTGAGGCATCCATTGTCTTTGGAACAAACTGAGCAGCCTTTACAAATTGGGTAGGGTCCATAACTAGCTGCAAAAAAGACCAAATGTAAGTGTTAGCACACAGTGAAAATGTGTTCAGCATTTTCCACATAGCATGCTACATTCAAACGACTGTTGACAACTAAGACTAAGTCATATATCACAAATCATAGATTCATGTGTGAACGGAAGGACCGTCTCGTTTAAAGGACTTTTGCAGCTCTAAATGAAACAAAATAGAACTGGTCTTAAATCTGCACTTTCAAATTCGAGTAAAAGAATCGTAATCCTTAAAGTGAAACCTCCCTTCGGACTGAATGAAACACTTCATTTTAGTACTATGTTAGACGTGATTGTTCACATTTTTAAAAACATGCATTTTAATCATGATAAATGAGTTATAAGATGTTATATTGCCACATTAGCATTATGATACATTGTGTTATATCAAAAATGCAGAACAATGTTATAGTCCTACCAAGCTTGTTCATGGATTAGTTCTTTTGGTTTATATGGTACATTAAAAAAAATTGTAACAGGTCTATTGTCACATTTTACTCTCTAGTTTTGAAAGAGACATTTTCAAGTGTGAAACTATTTGAGGTTATATTGAATAATGAATGTTTTCTTAATCAATTGTTGTTTTTCACTGTAAAGCCATATTTGTACCAATAATTATTTTCTAGCCAAATGTGCTTCTTGCAAAAAAAAACTGATAAGTATATTGGGGCTATATAATCTGGACTACATCCTGTAAATAAAAAATCATCTGGTATTAATAATGTTAGATTGAAAGTGGGACAGATTAATTTGCAATTACAAATGTAATTGTAATTTAGGATATTTCAAATTGTGTCCTATGTTTCTACAAATGCATTCATGTAAAGTACAGAAAACAGAGACTATACTGCCCAGATGTCTACAGTATATAGACATATAGATGTCTACTGTATATACCACAATCCATTTTTAATCAAACATATGTTTATTCTTCTACTAAAAAATAAGATCCTTCCTTGTGTCTTATATAGTCCTTGTTACTATAGACAGTGGCTTCATAAAATCTACAGTTACTCATCTGCTGTGTATCATTCTGCATCTGGCATGACTAAAGTTGGTCTATTTGTTTGGACTGTAAAAAAAATAATGAAAGTGGTGATAGCATAGTCCAAGGATAGAAAAAACAACATGGAAAATGATAAAATTACCAAAAAATAAAAGTTGAGAAAGATGCACCCATACAAGATTTCCGTTACTCATACAATTTTAGATGTTGATGCTTCCCCGTTAGTGTTATACCAATTAAACAACTTCAGGAACTTTGGAGTTCCTTAAACAGGACCAGAATCATCTTTAAAAATATATTGTATTGTCCATGATAAAGAGATTATAAATTAGCACAAAAGAACTGGAATGTTCTACAGATTATTTTTGCTAGATAGAATCACTCCCCCCAACACTTACAGTACTCTACAAAGATGTCTGAACACATAATGATTTCAAACCTATTGATTGAAGCCAAGTTTTGAATATCAAGACTACAGCTAACACGACAGCTATTACATGACAACCTACCATGATGCTTGATAGCACAGCTCGATATAATCTGAAAAAAAAAGCTTGTGCAGACGTTTTATTTAAGGGTATTCTGTTTCCTTAACCCTTTCTTTTAGACACTGAAGGAAAATATTGTTCTTCAGCAGTATTAACAGGGATGTTTCTTCAGAAGAACATGAAAAGCAAAATCATATGCACAGAGGATAGAGCTCAGATTGGATTCTGGCACGGCTGGAACAAGATATCAGAAACGTGTGAAATAATGACAGCTACAGTACCTATAGGGAGGTTCAGGTGCCTTGGACATCAATAGCACTGTGATATTCATTTGTTTTGGATGGGCGGCAGTTATATTTTTGAAAGCATTTTATCTTTAACTTGCGGGACCACACTTCAAAATGAAATCTTCAAGTTTCCTATCAAAAGAGCCAGATCAGGAACATTGAGGTGTCTTATTTTTTAGTTGAATCACATTTGCCAAAATCAGCTGATTAAGAATCTGTACAAATAACCTCTAGGGTGCTAGGAGTCTAATGATGTGGGATGGGATCTCCTTTAACAAAAAAGTGCCTCTGGGACAGACAGAGGCTACGTCCACTGCTTGGCCTTGAACCAGCAGGTTTTCTGTTCCTGCAAATCAATTCAGAAGTGCAGATTTTGCAGCTGGACAATGCACAAATATTCAGTGCCAGAATTCAACAGAAGACAATGCTACATGAACCCTCTTTAGAGATATATGCATCTGTATTTATTGTATATAACATAGTTTCACACATCTTATCATGAGCAAGAGAACATTGCAGGGCTTTAGCATTCCGTGAACACAGTAAATCAGCAAGTATCATTTTAAAAACAAAAATAAATATATATTTGTGAAACTGAAATGAATTTTTCTAAATGTCAGCAATTTGTCCATCTTCTGTAACAAATGTGATATTTTTGAAATCCAAATGCAAAACGAAAAGCAATTAATCAACAAAGCATCTGAAGCATCTCAGGTTCTGCAACAGCAGCAATCAAGTTCTTCCATCATACCACTGATCATAATATTAGTAATGAGCAAACAAATGAAATAGTCCTTTAACGGGGCTAAACAAAAAATATTTTTTGAGTTAAACTTGTTAAATTCCAAGACTGAAAAAAAGACGCTCCAGCTCTCCCAGTTTCTCTTCTGAAACTAAACATCTGCAATCAGAGAGGTTAAGATTGGTGCTGTGCTCAGCATCAGCTGTGTGTGTTACAACATTAGCATATTTTCCAGCTAACGTTTGCAAATTTGTAAGACACTCAAGAGTTTATCACCAAAATATGGCAATGTCAATTTCCCCTGAGAAGCACTCTGGTTCATATCTAGTACAACCCTTTTGGCATGCAGAATAAAGTCTTCTGTTGAAATGTCACAATCAAGTCATATACAACTTATGTTAATACGTCAAATATTTACCTTGAACCTGGCTGGGTGTACAGGTAAAAAAGAATATTAAACGAGTTGACAGAGATTGAAAAGAATATTGCAATGGTAGTGAAAATAAAAAAAAGTTATTTGCAGTATTACAACAGTGACAGAACAGTAAAGAAGGAAGTGTCTCAGATAATAATGATAAACATTTAAATGATAAAAGGGAAATAGCTACGTTATAAAATGGATGTTTACCTCGTTAAAAAATGAGAACATGTCTGAGTTAAGTCAAATTGCTAAATTAAATAGAATTAACATAAAACAAAAGTGTTAGAGGTTTAAGAAGGTAAGCTTTCAATCGTTAAATTTAATTAATAGAATTAAAAAAGGTTAATTCATTAATTTGTTAGAGTGCCTGAAAAAGTGGAAGCAATAATGAATAGGACCAAAGCAGAAAAAGATTCACCCAAAAATGCAAGTAGAACTACAAAGAACATTTTAAACTGTAAACAGGAGAAACTGTTTTACACTTTTTAGTGGGACTCTAGAACGAGTACCTACAGGTAGCTGTGTTATCAAAACCCATGTCCTGGCTTCTTTAAGGAAAATGTTTTCTGGGGAAAATAAAGCACTGCCATTTCTGCTATAACAATTACTGTGTTCCTAGAAAACACTGTGCAATAGAAACCATTGGTGCAATGGAAATTAAGGGCTTAGGGGGTAGAAAGCTTGTTTTCTATTGTAACTGGTCACATTATTAATCTGTGGAATATGTTTTGGTGAAAATTTTCAACAGAAAACTGTAAAAATTGATTAAAGAAGGCATAATAAGCCTCAAAATTTACATTGTAACAATGAGAAATTAAGCAGTGGAGGGGGGATGGTGAGAAAAAAATGTTTTTTAACAATATACACAACTGTAATTTTTTTAACTTATCAAAGAGAATGTAGAATACATTTTCAAACAATGTTTCCAAATAATGAAAACATAGTTGCTGAGCACAGACACCCCACTGATGCCAATACTGTGTTGTTTGTGCTAAGCTGCACAACCATTTTTACTCTACTGTACATGTGCAACTAGTTCCAGTGTACTTAAGCTGTGTTACAGCCAACAACTGCCCGCATTATGGAACAAGTGTTCTCTATTACTACAGTTATGTTATAGCCAATTTGTGTAATGGCTACACACATTATAACAGAAATTACTATATAAAAGTGGAATAAATGCTTGCTTGGTTTTTAATGAAATAATCATTCATGATTGACTTTGACCTTGATACACTTACAGTAAGTGACTTTGTTGCATAAGCACTAAATCTCAGTTTATAGGGCACAGGCGATGAAGTGATGTAATCTGCTGAATGTCAAGTATGGTGAAAATCAAGAAAGAATACCAGAGAAAATAACCAATATGCTCCACTTATTGGGGGATCAACTCTTAATGACATCTGTGTCAGGAACACGGACTGGAATCCATGTCAGATCTTATAGAAGACCCTATGCAATGCGGTAAGGGCTCGAGAAAACAGGAGGCGTGGTAAAAGGGAACACACAGGGGTTTAATAGTGCACAAAATAATAGTGACAGTCCGTGAGACAGTGTACAGGGGAAGACAAAACGGCATCCAAATCCAAACGGGTCCAAGAGGAGGTCAAAGCACAGTCCAAGAGTCCATCAACTAGAAATCCATCCTGGGACGGGACAAAGTTAAAATCCCCGGGAGGGGGAAGCACACGGACAGACGAAACATGGAGGTCCAAGGGTGACGGGGCGAGATCCTCCAGACCCCGGGCTCAGGAAACGGGAGGTGTCGGGGATGAGGCCTATGCCCTCAGGAGACGGACGTAGGGTTTCCTGGTGCTAGACGGGCCTCACGACATCTTACCCTAATAATGAGCCCCGAGGACTGGAGGAGCTAGTCTTTAAATAATAACACTAAAAGGGTACACCTGGAGAACTAAATCACACGAACAATATTGGGAGCAGTGGAGCTCCCTCTAGGGAGGGATGTCGGGCGTGACAATCTGCATTTTTGAAGCTGAACTACATCACCTTGTATGGACGTGTCAGCAGGGAGATCAAGTCCTCCT